GCCACTTTAATTCTGCTTTAACCACTTGAACTCTGGATTTTACCCCCTTCATGAACTGGGCATTTTGTGCTATTTAACACTGTGCTACTTTAATGGGCAATTATGCGGTCGTGCAACACTGTACCCAAATGAAAATTATATCATTTTTTCCACACAAAGAGAGCTTTATTTTGGTGATATTTTATCACCACTGGGTTTTTATATTATATAAAACAAAAAAACCTGAAAATTTTGAAAAAAAAAAAAAATATTTTCTACTTTCTGTTATAAAACATATCCAGTAAAATCTAATGTCTTCATGAATTTAGGCAAAATCGTATTCTGCTACATGTCTTTATTATAAAAATCCCAATAGTTGTATGTTAATTAGTTTGAACGTGTGAATGGTATAGAGTCTACAAACTATGGTATATATACTGGAATTTACACAGCTATAGACGCTATACTTATAATGGTGGTGATAGGTGACTTATAGTGTGACTATGATAGTGTGCTGGGCACTCTGGTGCTAACAGACACTGGCTGGGAGGGACACTATCTGACACTGACGTTGCTAGTGACACTAATACAGTGATCAGGTATAATACTGTACACTGGACTGATGACACTGGCTTGGAAGGGGTTGAAATCAAGGGGAAATCATGGGGTTAACTGCGTGCCTAAGAAGTGTAATGTGTGCTACTTTTTCTCACAGATTTGGCTGCTTTTTGTACCTTGGTTTTCAGAGAGAAGAAACAGCCAGATCGCTGTTCTGTGTATGCAGAGTTCTGTGTGTTTGTAAACACAGAACTCTGTGCTGTGGTTGGACACAGCAGATCAGCAGGTTTCAGCCAAAATCATTGTCTGAAACCTGCTGACAAACTCATGCTGCATACAATCACAGCACAGGTCAGCAGGGAAGGCAGGCAGCAACATACATGTACGCGACCAAGCCTGCAGCTGCCTTCCGCTCGCAGTAAATGTTCTGTGACCAGGTTTCAAGAGGTTAACTATGAAGTTGGAGAAGGTTAGGCATCAGTAACGAATGTAAACCAAATCAGGGAAGGACAGAAGAAAAAAAAAATTTATATATATACAGTTGTGACCAAAATTATTCAACCCCCAATGCTGTAAAGGGGTTTAGGGACTATAGTGTACATTTGGAATTGTATTCAGAATCAAATCCTACAAGGACGTTGTAACTACCCAAATGCAACTAAAATGACATCAATTGTTTATGTAATACAGTAGTAAATGGTTCTTATGTGGTTTCTTCATTGCCACAATTATTCAACCCCTTAAAGACTACCACTCTGAAGAACAGAGGTTCATACAGGTGCTTTCCATCAGGTATTGAAAACACCTGTGGATGTCACCGAGCAGCAATCAAGCATAATAAGCACCAATTAGGCAGCTTTAAAATGACTGTGATACTCAGCTCCTTCTAGACATTTACTGGTGTGGTTACAAACATGGTGAAGGCAAGAGAATGGTCCAGGAAGACAAGAGAAGAGGTGATTTCTCTTCACAGGAAGGGCAATGGCTATAAGAAGATTGCAAAGATGTTAAACATACCAAGAGACACCTTAGGAAGCATCATTCGCAAATTCAAGGCAAAGGGCACTGTTGAAACGCTACCTGGTCGTGGCAGAAAGAAGATGCTGACTTCGACTGCTGTGCGCTACCTGAAGCGTAGAGTGGAGAGAAGTCCCCGTGTGACTGCTGAGGAACTGAGAAAAGATTTGTCAGATGTGGGTACAGAAGTTTCAGCCCAGACAATAAGACGCACACTGCGTAATGAAGGCCTCCGTGCCAGAACTCCCAGGCGTACCCCCTTGCTGTCTCCAAAGAATAAGAAGAGTCGACTGCAGTATGCCAAAAGCCATGTGGACAAACCACAAAAGTTGTGGGATAGTGTTCTGTGGACTGATGAAACAAAATTAGAACTGTTTGGGCCCATGGATCAACGCTATGTTTGGAGGAGGAAGAACAAGGCCTATGATGAAAAGAACACCTTGCCTACTGTGAAGCATGGTGGAGGGTCAATCATGCTTTGGGGCTGTTTTGCTTCTGCAGGTACAGGGAAGCTTCAGCGTGTGCAAGGTACCATGAATTCTCTTCAGTACCAGGAGATATTGGATGGAAACGTGATGCAGTCCGTCACACACCTGAGGCTTGGGAGACGTTGGACCTTTCAACAGGACAATGATCCCAAGCATACCTCCAAGTCCACTAGAGCATGGTTGCAGAGGAAAGGCTGGAACATTTTGGAGTGGCCATCGCAGTCACCAGACTTAAATCCGATTGAGAACCTCTGGTGGGACTTAAAGAAAGCAGTTGCAGTGCGCAAGCCTAAGAATGTGACTGAACTGGAGGCCTTTGCCCATGAAGAATGGGCGAAGATACCCGTAGATCGCTGCAAGACACTTGTGTCAAGCTATGCTTCACGTTTAAAAGCTGTTATAACTGTAAAAGGATGCTGTACTAAGTACTAAGATTGAATGTCACTTGGGGGTTGAATAAAACTGATAATGCTGTGAGCACAGAAAAGACATTTGTGGTTATTTCATTATAACTGTTATGTTATATTTGTCTGACCTACAAGTGCCTCTTTAATGTAAATGTAAGCAAGATGACTGAATGATCAAAAAAATGTCAAACTGGCCAAAACACTCAATTTCAGTGGGGGTTGAATAATTTTGGTCACAACTGTATATATATATATATATATATATACTGTATCGGTGCCGATACCGAGTATTTTCAATAGTACTCGTCCTCGTGAAAATGCTCTTGATACCTGAAAATGATACTTTGCGGTGTGATTTGTGTCAATACAAAATCAAATTGCACTGCAAAAAATAGCATGCGATTTGAATAGGAATGTGGTGCCATTCCTGTCTGAATTGCATGCGGTTTCCCCTCCGCTTCTGTGTGTACCCAGGCTTGTCAGATCCTGCAAGGAGAGGAGAGAAACCTGTGTGGGATTTCAAATCCCCAGACCTGTGAAGTGGCTTTCTCTCCTCTCCTTGCAGGGATGACAGTATGGGCTATACAGCTTCTGATTGGTTAGCACTGTGATGGTGCTGACCAATCAAAAGCCGTCTAGCCCGTACTGTCATCCCTGCACTGAGAGGAGAGAAAGCTGCAGGGATTTCAAATCCCCAGCTTTTTCTTCTGTGACAGCATGGGTTTGGTACTGAGAGAGGTTTCTGACACTGCTCCTGTGTGAAGCCTGGGTTCGCACCGCATTCCTGTTCAAATCATATGCTATTCCATACATTTTGTATTGATGCAAATTGCACTGCAAAGTATCAACATGTTTGATATACTTACTGTGGAACCTAAGGGGTTAATCTTCTGCATTGTGTAAAAATGCTGTTTGATCTCTGCTCCTCCCCTTCACATCTGCACAGCTACTAAACACATTTGTTTATTGTTTCAGCTGTCAGCAGGGTTCCCCACTGACAGCTGAGCGTAATGAATTGCCAGCATTGCCTGGCAATTAAAAAATAAAAAAAAACACGTGGGGTCCGTGCCCCATCCATACCAAGCCCTTCGGGTTTGGTATGGATTTTGAGGGGAATCCAATTTTTTTTGTATGGGGTCCCCCCAAAATCCATACCAGACCCTTATCCATGCAGGCAGCCCGGCAGGTCAGGAAAGGGGTGGATGAGCGAACGCTCCCCTGTCCTGAACCATACCAGGCCACATGCCCTCAACATGGAAGGTGTTTTGGGGCAGGGGGGCTCCCCCCTCAAAGCACTGTGCCCCCATGTTGATGGGGACAAAGGCCTCTTCCCCACAACCATGGCTGGTGGTTGTGAGGGGTCTTATCGGAGTCTGGAACCCTCCGCCCCCCCATGTGAATAAATATGCGGTACATGCTACTGCTACCCATTCATAAAAAAAGTATAGTGTAAAAATAGCAATAGACAGTCTTTGAGAAGTTCTTTATTAAAAACAAAAATATAAAAAATTCCCCCGAAGTAGATCCAACATCGATCACGATGCCTGCCGCCACTGCCAACCCAAAAAAAGAAAATGCTATGCTCTGAACGCTGGCTCCAACTGTCTGACAGCTGTGCGCTGGGATGACAGTTCTTAAATAGTGTGATGATGTCACAAGAAGGTGGGGTCACCCTGCCCCCTTGTGTCATCATCATGCGCTGTGATTAGCCAAAGCATTGCACCTGACTTGTGGTCAGGTGCATTGCTTTGGCCAATCATAATGCACTGTCAGAGCATAGTGCATTGTGGGGCATGACAGGCGAACAGCATGCCCTTGCCATACGCTTGCCTTGCCGAACACACGAATGGCCAATGTTTAAGTCGAACTAACGTTTGACCCAAATATACAGCCCATCCCTAGTGGAGAGACTCAGCACCTGCTCAGTTTGGTGTGTATTGCTAGAGAGGTTTTTTTTTTTTCAGAGAGTGCATGAGATCAGCACAGAGCTAATCAGCACTGTCCAGACAGAGTCAGAGGTCCTGCATCCACCTAGAGCAGAAAGAAAACTCCTCTTACAAGCGTTAACCAGTGCTCGGCAAGACACTGATAGAAGTCACAAGACTCCTCTAACTGCTGATAAGAAAAGGTATTTAGCAGTTTATGTTTACCAATACAATTGCACTTCCATGTTCTGTGTACTGTGGGAGACCAGATACAGTGAATGCAGGGTCCGGGAGACCAGATATAGTGAATGCAGGGTCCGGGGAGACCAGATATAGGGAATGCAGGTTCCGGGGAGACCAGATATAGTGAATGCAGGGTCCGGGGAGACCAGATATAGTGAATGCAGGGTCCGGGGAGACCAGATATAGTGAATGCAGGGTCCGGGGAGACCAGATACAGTGAATGCAGGGTCCGGGGAGACCAGATATAGTGAATGCAGGGTCCGGGGAGACCAGATATAGTGAATGCAGGGTCCTGGGAGACCAAATATAGTGAATGCAGGGTCCGGGGAGACCAGATATAGTGAATGCAGGGTCCGGGGAGACCAGATATAGTGAATGCAGGGTCCGGGGAGACCAGATATAGTGAATGCAGGGTCCGGGGAGACCAGATATAGTGAATGCAGGGTCCGGGAGACCAGATATAGTGAATGCAGGGTCCTGGGAGACAAGATATAGTGAATGCAGGGTCCGGGGAGACCAGATATAGTGAATGCAGGGTCCGGGGAGACCAGATATAGTGAATGCAGGGTCCGGGGAGACCAGATATAGTGAATGCAGGGTCCGGGAGACCAGATATTGTGAATGCAGGGTCTGGGGAGACCAGATATAGTGAATGCAGGGTCCTGGGAGACAAGATATAGTGAATGCAGGGTCCGGGGAGACCAGATATAGTGAATGCAGGGTCCTGGGTTTAGTAACACTTTAAGTGAACAGAAAAATTCACTCCACCAACTGGAATTAGATCTAACAGCTGTTCTTTAGCAACAAAGGATTTTTGCTATCAGTATAGGTTTCATATAGAAAATAATTGTTTACAATGTCTAGTTTGGAGGCTATAATCCTGAGATATGTATAATTGTCTTTTTCTTAGGTCTTGAGGTCAACATTAATTGAGCAAGTCATCATGACATCCAATTTCAAATAATGATGTGTTGCTTTATTTCTTTCAGTTTTAAACAAATGAAAAGCTGCCATGCCGGGGTCAAAATATAAATTCATATTTTTTATTCCTAGAGAAATTACGCAGTCTTTTACCTGTCTTAAAAGTGATGCAATAAATGCATTCATGTCTTCGTGCGGGCTTTGTTCTTACTTATCAAGACTTTCAAAAATAAAAAGTTGGGCACATGAAAAGCTTTTAAACGACTCACATCTGCCTGGGAGAACGTGATGTTTTGACCTCTCTCCAATTTTTATGTCTATGCCTGATTTAAAAGTGGCTCCATTATGGTCTTATGACATGACACACACTTGTTTGCCTCTTTTTTTTTTTCTCTTTTATCTAATGGTTGTCCTCACATAACTCCTACATCTTCCTTTCTAGATATGGTTACATCACCTAACTCTTAATGAAAGTTCCTAATGTGTAGGTAGCAGCTGTCTAGAACAGAACACATACAGGTGACACTTGTAATTAAGTTCTCTGGATTTTTAAACTGCACAAGGCGTATCCAAGACACTGACATAAATTAATAAAATGACTCATTACCACTATAGTTATTTAAAAAGTACGCATAAAAGAGGAAATTAAAGAGCAATTAAAAGTGGAAGAAATGCTACTTGTTAAAATCATAACGTCCACTCATTTCTAACTTATTTTGGGCTATCGGTCATTTAATGGAGAAATAATCTAAAAAGCACCTCACAGGGTCACTGAGAGTGTATTTCCTGATATCTGTAATTTTTATCTTCAAGCCAGGATCACCAATCAAATTGATGGTGCTATATATATGAATTATCCTGTTATACACCCATTTTCGGGAAGGTGGATTGTTTGATTGACCTGTAAGTAATTTTGAAATTTCCAAATGTATCTTTTTGGACCACCTATATTCTACAATCTATTTTTTATTTAGTTTAAAAGATTTTTAAACTGGTATTTTTGGTGTTGCTCTATGCAGAGGTGTTTGGTGCGCAGTTAACATCGTTTTGGTAGGCCCCGATTTGCTAATCTCATTTCAAGTCCGTTGGGACTTTTCTGGTTAATGGAGCACAATTAATAAGGGAGGAGGGTCTCCCTATTTATTGGGTGCGAGGTCGCGTGCTGACCACGCCCCTGACAACATCTTATGAGTGATGAAATGCATAGGGTGGAGCCTTGATGTGTGACGTCACTACGCAACACTACAGACCGTGGCCATTTTGATGGATGGAAACTTTTATACAGACATGCTTATGTTTATCCTGCTGGTTGTAAGTGTAATACTTTAAATAAATTAACGCATCTTTTACATATTACACTATGAGCGGTTAATTTTTCCCACTTGGGTATTCGCCATGTGGAGAGATATCTGCCATCTAAGAGCTATATGATTAGGAGGACATCTTATACATTGTCTGCATTTTCTGGAGGACCTGTCTGCCAGTCCTTGATACAACAGCTGAGCCTGATAACTGCGCTGTTTGACCAGTCCCTCGGGTGGTCAAACTCTCTGGTAAGAGGCTGTGTGATTGGGTGGAAGGTGTAGGACTTTCTCTATACTTTTGGTACTTTTGGGCTCCGGCTTCCTGCAAAGCACCAGCACTTCTACATTATGGGGATTATTTTTCATTGGTTAATTTGTGTTATCTATATTTGACTTCTCACCTTTGGTGGATGATTGGTTATAAATAATAATCATATGTATCATCAATTAAGCGCTACACTAACAGTTTTTTATATATTTTTTTAATATATACCAATCAAATTGAAACTTCAAAGATAAGTAAAAATTAAATTGGTGGTTCAAAGAAACTAATTAGTTTTGAATTTTTAAACTTTTTTTTTTTTTTTATATCAGTCTGTGAGCACAAAAGACAGTATTGGACCAGCAGTGGATATGTTTGGGAATAGCTCTTCTCCATCATAAGCAGTGGTACTCAGATCACCAGATTGCTGACTAAGGGGAGTATTGGTGCACTACAGCAGCCTGGATGAACAAAGGAATTACTGGTCAGGTAGGCTGTGCTCTTTGGACACATTTTAAAGTTGAACCAAATCCCGTTAATGTAATGGTTTCCCAAATCAGTTACATTCAAGGCATGTCATGAATGATCACTGTGTTCTCAACCCAACTGTCAAGCCATCAAATGGCAGGTGTCATAATGGATCGCATGTGCAGCACCATGACAACTGCAGATCAAACGGAGGCAGATTCGTCTGTTTGATCTGCAGTTGATGGCAGCTTCCTTGACTGTAAAGGATAAGAGGGTTTAGTTCTGCTTTAAACCTCTTGCCGACCGCGCATAGCCAAATGACGGCTTCACCGCGGCCGGCCAGTTCTGGGTGGACGTCATATGACGTCCTCCCAGAACGCGCTCTCCTGCCTGCCCCAGGGGGCGCGCACCCGGCGATCTCCGTGATCTCTGTGTCCTACGATCACGGAGGCAATTTAAAATTTAAAAGGCAATTTACAGCGGCCTTTTACCACGTGATCAGCGGTGTCCAATGACACGCTGATCACAGGGAAATGCAAGTGCCGGTTCTCGGCTGCACTTTCCTCACGCTGTCAGATCGTGAGGAAAGTACTGCCGAGAACCGGCAGTTGTCAGAGCGGGGATCGGCACCGATCATCAGGGCATGATCAGTGCCCTGATGATCGGTGCCCAGCAGTGACACCCGCAAGTTCCGCCCAGCAGTGCGCCCACTAGCTCCGCCCACCAGGGCCCAGCAGTGCACCCCCCTGTGCCCAGCAGTGCCCCCCACCTGTGCCCAGCAGTGCCCCCACCTGTGCCCAGCAGTGCACCCACCTGTGCCACTCTGCAGTGCCACCTACCTGTGCCCAGAAGTGCCACCTACATGTGCCCAGCAGTGCCACCCACCTGTGCCCACCCACCTGTGCCCACCAGTGCCACCCACCTGTGCCCACCAGTGCCACCCACCTGTGCCCACCCACCAGTGCTGCCCACCAGTGCAGCCCAGCAGTGCTGCCAGTCAGTGCCACCAGTCAGTGCCCAGGGGTTGTGCCAGTCAGTGCCGCCAGTCAATGCCCAGCAGTGATGCCAGTCAGTGCCGTCTATCAGTACCCATAATCAGTGTCACCTATCAGTGCCGCCTATCAATGCTGCATATCAGTGCCGCCTATCCGTGACCCCTAATTAGTGCTGTCTATCAGTGCCGCCTATCCGTGCCACCTCATTAGTACTGCCTATCAGTGCCCTTTAGTGCTGCCTATCAGTGCCCATCAGTGCTGCCTATCAGTGCCCATCAGTGCTGCCTCATCAATGCACATCAGTGAAGGAGAAAAAATACCTGTTTGAAAAATTTTATAAAAAACAAATAAACTTTTTTTTTTTCAAATTTTTTGCACTTTTTTTTTATTTATAGCGCAAAAAGTAAAGCGCCCAGTGGCAATTAAATACCACCAAAAGAAAGCACTATTTGTGAGAAAAAAATGATCAAAATTTCATATGAGTACAATGTTGCATGACCGCGCAATTGTCAATCAAAAGTGTGGCAGCGCTGAAAGCTGAAAATTGGCCTGGTAAGGAAGGGGGTATAAGTGCCCGGTAGGCAAGTGGTTAAAGCAAACCTGTTGTTTTGCCCTTCAAAGTTTTGAAGGACATCAATGTACGTATATGAACAGATTGAGATGGCCTGCCTGTCAACCTAGAATGTTATGTAAGGACAGTTAATTTTACAGGGGCCAACCTGTAGTCTTCACACCCCTCCTGCATTTTTGCCAAGGTTGATGGCACCAGTCTGACATTAGTTTGAGACACTTTTGCTATTATTCAGAAATAAATGACAGGTGCATTGGACCTTCAAGTGGGTTTTGTATTACTGTATACTTGTTAACAAGTAGACACAGGCCCTTAGTCATCTCAAAGGGGCAGACATTTCAGTCTAAAGGTTTCCATTATCACACTCTTTAGAACCCAATAATTAAAATGTCCATTATTTATAGGTAATCTAAGATTCTACATGGCACAACAACCCTTCTAGTATTATAAATGTCACTTTGGGGTTGCAATGTGTAAACCCTAACCCTTGCTAGGTTGGTAGCTGGTCAGTAGATCAGATGCTGGGGTGAGATCACAAGTTGCAACCCTATTGTTATGGCCCAATGACACAAGTCCAGAGCAACCCACGATCGATCACTTTTCAGAGGGCATTTAGCAGGCAGTGAGGAAGTGATATGTCTGTTTTTGCACGCAGTTGCAAAATGGTTGTGGGGTATTCCCATTGACTTGAATTGGTTGTGTTCGGTGGCCGGTGCTGTCCACCAAATACAACAATGGAATCATTTTTGCCACACCGCCACATGTGTATGTATGACTGCTTTTTCAGCTTAGTTGGGGCTGTTGGGGTGGTGGTAAAAAAACAACCACCTGTTTTTACTGTTCTGAACCAATAGTGTAAACTAACAATTACATTAATAACACTAGAGTGGCCCACCAGCAGTGTCTGGGCATTGAGAAAAATGGAAGAATCAGATGATCCCCTGGTCCAGTCTGCCACTGATGACCTCCTTTTGCAAATACTGCACATGTGATCAGTTATGCCATCAGCCATTTGATGGTTGGTTGAGAGCACAAGCAGATGTGATAGCTAGTATTGCCAGCATGCCGGAAATGTAACTGTTTTCTGAAACCTTAACCACTTGCTGACCATACTATAGCTGAATGACAGCTACAGCGTGGTCATCCAGTTCTGGGATGGCGTCATATGACGTCCTCCCAGTACCGCACCCACT